GCTGGCTTCCCAAGCCAACTTCTAACCAACGCGCCCCTCGGCCGGCCCAACCTTTAGGTTTATTTATCTGCTCTATGATGAGGCTTCATTTTGAACTTGTTCCTCTTGATCTGATAACATCTTTTCAATTTAGTTGGTGGGTATCTTGTTATTTATAATTCATTAAATTGCTGTTGTAAATATGAACTAGATATTTTTGGAAATCTCTAGAAAAATGGAATAAATAATATAGAATTATGGTAATAAAATGCATTGGCCACTGTTTTTATTTTTATTCATGCCATTGTCTTTCAGTTCTGAAAAAGCTAAAAAAAATAAAGTGCCAGTATGGGAAGAATGAAAGATAACTGAATGCCCTGGAGGGGAAAATATGACTATTTATTTTTAATTTAAATTAAAAATTAGCCTCAGGTGACTGGTGGGCACCATGTTTCACAGTGCCCCCCTCTCTTGTATGGAGATGGCATTGTTTATTTGGCCAGTGCCCTATTGGTGACATTTGGTGGTTCTGTATTGTTTTTGGATACCCTTGGTCGTTCACAGAATGTGAAAGAATTCACAAGACTCAGAAAAGTAGGAAAACAAGAAAGCGTTTATTGAAAGTTGGGCAATGAGGATGCCGGTGGCAGTGTCTAGAGAAGATGGCTGCACCGATGAGAAGAAACAATGGCAGAGGATTTGCCGGGGGCAGAGTCTAGAGTAGACAGCTGCCATGGGTTTCTGTTTAGCTGGGGTTTTATATTTTTCTATGCAGAATGTAGGGTGCTTGTTAGCTTGCAGAGGGCTGCCGTTACTATTGGCCTCCTCTGGGAACCATCCCATTCCCATCCATGATGGATGCAGGGTGCTTGTCAGCTTGCAGGGGATTTCTTCCAGGAATTTTCTGTTCCCATCTATGATGGGTATTTGTTAGCTTGCAGGGGGTTGCTGTTGCAGTTGGCCTCCCCTGGGAACTGTTCTGTTCCCACCTATGTGGATGTAAGGTGCTTGTCAGCTTGCAGGTGCAGTGCTAGCCAGGGGATTCAGTGACAAGCAGTTAATGTTTAAGCTCGTTCCTGTTAACTCACAAGCTCGCTCCTGTTAACTCTTTACCTGTCTCATTAGTTTCCAGTTTTTAGTGTCTGAGGAATATGGGTATAGTAGCAGCATCATGGCCCCCCCAAGGATGTGCACATCCTATGCTCAGAACCTGTGAATATGTTCCCTTACCTGTCAAAGCAGATGTCATTGAGTTAAGGACCTTGAGATGAGATGATCCTGGTTTATCCAGGTGGGCCCATTTACATCACAAGGGTCCTTATAAGAGGGAGGCAGGAGAGTCAGAGACTTGAAGGTGGAGGAGGGGGCCACTAGCCAAGGAATCCTGGTGGCCCCTAGAAGCTGGAAAAGGCAAGGGACCGGGTTCTGCCCTGGAGCCCCCAGAAGGAATGGACTCGGCTGAAACCTTGCCTTTATCCCAGTGAGGCCTGCAGAACTGTAGGAGAATACATTTGCCTGGTTTTAACCACTGAGATTGTGGTAGTTTGTTACAGCAGCCACAGGATATTGATACAGTGGATCTTTATAAAAATAACAATTGTCATATCCTTGAGGCTTCCCAACAGTAGTTTGTGCTCCGTCCTTTACCTATAACATGACCACGGCCCCATGGAGTTATGCAATGTCTTTTCTGTCTTTCATTTGGGGGAATACAAGGCTCAGAGGGGTAATGTGCCCAAGGTCAAAGCAGTCGGGGTAACCTGTGGTGAATGGACTAACGGAACTGACTGTGCCGTTTCTTACCTTTAGGGATTATGTCGCCGGTGGAGCTTGTCCCAGCAAGGCCACCATTCAGGGGAAGACTGTCATTGTGACTGGTGCCAACACAGGCATCGGGA